CAGTGAGGTTTTTTTGACACAGAGCTTCGTTCTGCTAAGGAAAATAACCATAAACCACCACGAACACCACGTCCTCTTGCTAAACTGGCTCAGGATATACAGTTAGCAAAGAAAGCATTCGCAGTATTTAGCTTTAAGCACCTAACTCCCATAGTGAGGGGTCTACTACCACTAGGCGTACAGAAATAAATATCTTCAGTGCCTAACTTAATCACTTCAGATGTGACCTAAAGACAGGTGATATCAATACCCCCTTTTATGTCAGAATGCTTATTTATACCACTTTACCACTCCATGAAAATGATCCTTACAGATTTGATTAACATGGGGATGCTTTTGTGATAAAACAAAGGGGCTCATATGTCACATGTACTTTCCACTGCCTGTTCTGGAGGAAGGAGTGAATAGAAAGGATAACCAGCTGACAGATTAGTTCATATCACAGTTGACATCACGTGCTAGCTCAGTGACTGATATAACACAGGAAGGAAAACACTATACAGAGTAGTAGCAGAAACAAGGGTAACCTGAGACCTTTAAGCATAATCAAAGCTTTATATCATGTGTGTTTTAATTTGTAATAAATATAAAACAAAGTATTTTACAAGAATAGGCAAAGTGACATTTCTCTAAAGAAAGAAAATTCTAATATCCGCTTCTTTTCAGGTATCTACCAAAAATTATATTGACTAAATATAATGACTTCTTTGTAGATGCTCCTGAAAGTGTTTGGTTCAAGAACATCTATGTCTTGGTCTTGGTCTGTGACATGTTCATAAGAAAGCTTACAGTAATATTTTTAAGTCCAGCTAGCAGCATACACTACATGGATCCATCTTAAACTCAACCGCATAGTTTTTTACCAGGTAAGAACACAGCACAGCAATAGTCAGATGAAAAAGAAAGACTTATTCCTTATTCTAAGAAAGTTAAATATTTGTACAGCCATGGAATTAGAAAGAAAAATTTGAACCAAAGTCACTAAAGATTATGTAAAACAGTAGACAATACGGACTGTTAGGTAAAAATTGTTTACCCAGGCTGCATGTGGCTTTCTCATCTGCACTTGTCATACGATATTGATGCGTATTTGCCGTCTAGGTATGCCACAATCCTCAAATTTCTTGAATGAAATCAGTACCAGAGTGGATTTAGTGAAATAGAGCTGACATACTCTACACATACTTTTTGAAAATGTCATTTATTTCTCACATTTATTACCAATGTTCCCCTAGATTATTTAAAAGTGAAGGAAAGAAAAATGTGCAAGCAATAATTTTACCCACTATCTGATGTAACAGATACTACTATTATGCAGAATATGCACACCTCCACTTCTACAAGGCTCTTAACTATTTCTGTGAAAGGCAGCATTTGGACAGAAGAGTCAGCTCCCGAATTATTCCCAGCTCCTACGTGTGACCTCTAGTGGCTATGAAAACAAACTGCTGTTTGGGTAAGGTTTTTTTAGTTTCCAAGTAAAAAGAAAACAGTAATATACTGTTAAATTAGCACTGGGAGAATAGTTTTGAAACGAAAGGAAAATTTGACTGAAAATAAGCAGGCAATGATCTTGTGCTAAACAACCAGACAGCATTAAATTAATCCCTGCTTTACGTTCCCTTGATTACATAAGGAAAGGTAATCAGCAATCCATAGCATATCTGCCAAGCATGAACTTCTAAAATGAAATTTCCACGACAGAATGACCTCCAAAGGTCTTGTCCATAGTGAGTTGGGTACGATGTTTAAACACACTTTCTGGCACCGTACAATCAAGAACTTTGTTTCCAGAAGCATTCCAACATTTCCCAGCACCAAATCACAAATTTAATGGATGCTGAATGCAGAATTATATCATATTTACATTACACAATGCAACTCTTGCTGCACATGCTGCAATTTCCAAGGAAAACTTTCACAAATACAAAAAAAAAAAAAGTGCATTTAAACAAAGAAGAATCACCAATGGATTCTCTTCAGTTTAATCCACAACTTCCTTATAAAATAAAGTTCCATTTGTACAATAGGAATAATGCTTAAAAGAGGCAGTAAACAACTGAAAAAAAAACAACCTTTAGTTATTTTGCTTTAATGTTTTAATTCAAATCATTAACCTAGAAGTGATTACAGTAGTAATAACATTTTTGCTTTTGTTCTCATTTTACTATTTATTATACTACTTTATAAAATACCACAAGAGAGCAATATCCTCTACCACCCATTATACATCATGGGTATGGAGGTGAAATGGAGGGCATTTTTCAAGCCGTCAGTGATCTGTAATATCTGAGAGAAACACCCTGAGGACACGTGCTGTTGTAAAACATGTGTTGTGTTTTCATAGCTCCAGTTTTTTTTAAATTAAATGCCGCATATATTTTGTTTTGAAAGAAGGATAGAAAAAAAATCAATAAGGAAAAAACTCTCCTAAAACTTTACAGTTCCTATATTTTTTTTTAAGTTGAAAGGTAACCAAAGCAAAAGGAGTTGCTTTTTAATAACTGAGAAGCAGCTTTTCTTTTTTATTTTTTTAATGTAACTGGAAAGCTCTTTTCATATATTAGGGATTTGTAACTTTGCACAAATAAATTTTGTTACAGTGCATGACTAAACTGGAAAAAAGTTAATATAAAGCGGTCGGCATTTCATATTCAGTGATATACTGCAATAATATTTTTCATTAAACACTACAATTTAAAAAAAAAAAAACAGAAAATAATCCTCTGTATAAAGATACTCCAAGCCACCTGATAAAAAGGCATAATCACTGGATGAAATTGCAGCATATTGACAGATATTTAATAATGATTGGTTTGAGATTTTATTAGTAACCAGCTACATGGGGACTTAGGTTAGGTCATTAAGGTGGCTCTACTTTTTTACTCTCTGAACACAGGTTTTCCTTTCCTTTCCTTTCATTCCTGAATCTCAAAGGAACTATTTAAAATCTAAATGAGAATGCTATATGAAACACCACCTTCCAGCAAACACAGAGAACATTTAGTATTGCATTACAAGCAGACTACGTTCTCCTACAGCTTTTTCAGTACAGGAGTCTTCAACACTTGAACTAATACTTGCTTGAAGCAAAAGGTAAGCAATGCAAAAAACATGCTAATGATAGAAGAAATTACTTTCCCAAATCTGCTGCTACTGTATTTCTATTCTTTACAGAGTGCATCTACTTTACAGCTGTTGAGGGCACTCACACTTGTCACCACGGCTGGCTCTGAAAGAGCTGCTTGAGAGATCGCCTTCCATCACTGTAAGCAGTCACAGATGCTCACAAATCGATTGCATCTCATCCAGTAATATTTGGCCTTAATCGCAGCTTTCTATTTACTGGGTAATCTCAGTTGTAAGGAGAAGACTGCCTAAAACTTCGCTTTCGTCAGTCGTTCCTCACAAAACAGATGGTCAGGGTTCAGAGTTTTGATCTCCGTTTTCAAGGATGCCACAGCCCTGACCCAAACCTATCAAGATTACTGCATCATTTACATTCTCTAAATTAAACTCAGTCTGAGCCAAATAACTTCCTAATCAAAGATCAGCTTCAGCAACTCAGAGCTGAATCCAAGTTTTGGGGCCTGCCCTTCGGTCTCTGGTGGAAGCAGCAGCAACTCACCATGCTGCAGTTACATCTCTACCACTAAACTGCAATGCCACGTACTGCATCCCCAGCACACAACTGGCCACACCATTAATTTTTAGCAACCCTCCTGGTACAGGTATGAAGCAGGCCAACTAGAACTCTCCTGTTACAAAGGCCAGGCACAATATGGGGGACAAGACATACCAGAGACCATAGTAATACAAACTTGGTCTGCCCAGCTGCAGCTGTCTCTTCCACCTTACCCTCACCTGATACATTAATGTTAAACTATCCTCAGACATCTCTACTTAGGGGGAAAAAAAAAGCTCAGAGGGAATATGTTCAGCATCTAATCTGGGCAGATACTTGAGCAATCTTTGGTTTTAAGCAAATTTAGTATGTTCACAAATCTTTGTGGGAATGAATATGAGGCTGGAAGAAATTAGCCTCCATTTACACTTACAGTCCCTCACACTGAAAGCAAATGCAGCTCAGATGTAGAAAAGAATCATGTGCAGATTCCAGAGTCACTAGTCATCTGCTGTTTAAAGCGAGGATGAAGATATATTAGCCAGTTACTAGCATTATAGAGACTAAAATAATTAAACCATCTAAATTTACTCAGATACTAAAAAATTTAGTCTTAGCACAACTAAGGTCTAAGACCTGGAATCTAACAGAAAGTTTAACACTGAAAAAACTTACAGAAAAATTACATGTATGAAAACTGAGGAAATGTATTGGTGTACTTTTGTCTAACAGAATGTGAAATATACTACTCAAAACAGTCAAGTATTGTTGTGATGCTTGTGTTTCGTCAACAGATCCATAAGGAAACATCTACAAGTGATCTAGTGCACGTGCTACAGTGATCTAATGCACTGTGCAATCATATTTACATGTAAAAAAGGGTAAATTATTGAGAAAGGAATCCTGTAATTCTTCAGCATCCAAGGATGAACTTGGCATCTGATGTATGAAACAGCCAATTCATAGAGTAATTGCTGGATGATAATGGAGTTAGGTGTCCAGGTACATATAACAAATGTATTTCGTGCACACTTTGATATATAAATCTGCTTAATCTGGTCATTCTTCAAACTAAGAAGGTCATAACTAAATTCCTAATTGATAGATCTCAATCCATGTGTGAACAGCATTAAACAACAGGAAAGAGTTTAAATCTCTTGTGCCAGAATAAGATGAGCTTTCCAAATTTCTCAGTTTTTCTGCTTTGATCTCTATGTGGCACTCTTGTGTGCCTGACAAAAGGAGAATGACAGTTTGCTCTCCTACTGATGCTTATGGTTAACTGCCAGCAATATAATACTAATAAACAAGGCAGCACCTGTGCATAGCAAAAAAGCAGTACAATTTTTAGCTGCTCAACATCTATATGATGATTTTAATTTCTTAAAATTTTTCATAAAATGATTATGACTCAGTGAAAGGCAGCTCCTTTGGAACGATACATTTGTAAACAAAATTGTCCTTCAGCTTGGCCCTAAAGGCTGTTCTTTAGCTACAACAAGTTACAGGAAAAATAAGACCAGCAGTGACAGAATATCAAAATGATGTATTTGAACACAGTGAGGAGAATAATTTGGAAGGTACACAGTAATATACAGTAAGAAATGTTTTCTTACCTGCTTTATACCACAATAATTCGCTATGTTGTCTACCAGCTCTGACATCACCTGTACTTCATGTGATTTCTTATTATTCATAAATTCATCAGTTTTGATACCTTTATCAAATTAAGAAAATAAATACACATTAGCAAAACCCATAACAATAAATATTTGTGATCAATCAGAAAAAATACCAGCCTAAAAATATGGTATACTATTTTTATATTTTAAGGATAGTAATTTTTAATTAAAAACTCACTAAATTATTACAGGACTGAACTTCTGAATTATAGTTGAATTAGTAAAATTCAACACACTGTAAAATGTAGTACTGTTAGTATAGTTTTTTTAAGATGTACTATATCTAATATCTGACCAGATACTAGACAATAGCTACGACTATAAAACTGTACTATTTCTTCCTCTTCATTAAAAAAATATTTATTTTTTTGTCATTTATCACATCTATCTTTATCTGTACGAAATACAAGGGCAGAGACAATTAACAATCACACAGTATGGCTTGTTAATTCTACAGATTTGCTCACAATATCACGTGGAAGATATCTCAAGTAAAAGTTACGAGCAATGTTGGGGAAATCCATAGGAAAATGCACTTTTATTTTTCTTATTTGTCCTATGGATGGGTTATAGAACTGCTACAGTCTTCATGGTCCAAAAATCACTCATTTCAGTGTTGCTGGAGAACGTGTTAATGAGATGGAGTCAATCTCCATCACAGCTTTACTGCTTGTGGAGAATACCAAGCACCCACTTGCTAATTTCTACATCCCCCAACCAAAGGAGTAGCTCAGAAGTTGCTCCCTCAGGAGAACCCCACACATTTCTCCTATGCTACCAACACTACAGGACACTTGGCTCTAGTTAAACTGATGGAAATGTTTGTAAGTCTGAGGGAGGGTAGAAGAAACTACCATTACCGATGAGCATGCTCCTAGAAAGCAAGACTTTTGTACATGACTAGGCAGGTTAATATACTTTCCCACTCTCTGCTTTTTTTGCACAGTATGTGTTCATCTGTCCAGAAACTGATCATTAGGCAAAAACTATGTTCATTCCTTGATCAGATCATGCTGGGAACAGAGCCAAGAGTGTTACTTCTTTAAAAGAGAGTGGGGAATTGAACTGAGCTCATGAGAAACCTAGTGCTTTCTCTATTTTTCTCAATACCCACAGGATCTCTCTATTTCTTAAACATCTGGGTTTTTATAATATTGTTATGACAATACTTTAATATAGACTCTATGAACTGACAAAAGAAAAAAATAGACTAAAATACTTTTAAACGAAACAGATAGCAGAAACAAGTTTGTCATTTCACTAAAGATTCTCCCTAACTTTAAAATTGTGAAGATCTACACGGTGTCCTAAACTCTTACTTTGTAAGCATTTCAACTGAAAGAAAAAAAAGACAGAAAAGAATTTTTTTTAAAAAGTTTCTTTTTTTGTTTATATTTGAACATTTTTGTGTCTGGATAAGCTCATCAGAAGAAGCAGCAAAATGGGAACAGGAAGAAACAGACATTTAACTTCTTGACAGAAATAAAAGTTGTTTGACTGTTCTCCAAAGTAGCACTGTCACTTTGAACTATCACCACATACCGCACCTTTTACTCTTTGCTATAGTATGAACTCAAAAGACTGCATTGGGTGATGCTGTGTGAAATACCATTCCAGAGAGTATTTAAGCCAAATTAAGTATGTCAAACAAGGAAGAAATCCAGAAACAAGATCCAGCTTACAAAAGCTGAAGTTCCAGGTAGAAAAATCAGTTTGCTTATACCGACATATATAAAATATTTATCTTCCCTACTAAGGTTTCTTAACCATTTTTAGAATTCTCTTCCTATTTTTGCAGAACGAAAACTCTGCTTATATTTCAGCTCAAGGAAAATTACGGTTTTTGCAGAAAATGATGGATTTTTAATAAATTTAATTGTTGCTCCATTTTCTGCAAAATTGTGATTTTTTTTTTACATTACTTTGAAAAACAAGCATATGTACTACAATCTAATAAAAACTGTATTTGAGGACTGTTTTATATTGCAAAGACAACCACAAACTTAAAAAAACATGTATACAAATTTTAAACAAACTGTGTAAATTCATTCTGCTATCACAAAATTACTCTCTTGAAACAAATAATTATACATGCAGATTTCCTTATCATGTGTACAACTGGCGCAAGCAGAACAAATACTAATTTCGAAAACCATAAGACATTTAGAAATCCATCTCCTTTTGTGATGAAAAAAGAAAGCAGGGTTCAAATACTTCACAGAGATACCCTGGATATACTACAGTACCAGAAAGCTTAATGTTACTAGTCTTAGCTGCTACTGAAATGTTGCTTATTTCCATTGTGAACCCCTAGCACAGGTAGCTGTTCTCCATTTGAAAAACTGCCTCAACACTATCATGCCATTTACAGCTACATCTTTAGTTGTGAAGCTGAACAAAGTGAGGACAGACTGTGTTTTACCCAGGGCTAATGCACATCTTCCTAAGATCTCCTACGGCAGGGCACAGGGGTTTTACACCTTGGCTAGCTGCAGAAATCCAGAAACACCAGATTTTCTGGTACACAAATTCACAGTCCACACCAGACAACACCACCTATACAGAAGTTACAGTACTATGATTTAATTCCATAAGCCAGATTGAGGGACTGGAATAGCCATACACTTAAAAAACATTGAGGCAAAGTGATATTCCACTACAGGGAATTTAAAGATGGATTCATTAACAGTCACTGCATGACTACTTCCTTGGCCATAAATGCATTGCAAAGGTAGAGAGCACGATTAATCAAATATTCTAGCAACCCTCACTTCTTGTATCAGACATGAACCCTGTAACAAGAGACATTCTCCCTGCTGGCCTCCTCCCCTTGGGCCAGGCTCTTTTGGAGCGTGTGTGCTCAGTGCTAGCAACAGTAAGGACCACAGTGACCTTTGTTAGCAAGCAATTGAGAAAGCCCTTTAGACTCAGAACTCCGTTGTGAGTAGCTGTGTCCACAATATGCTCAAAATGTTTGTGCTCACCAATTATTCCAAGGAAGGTGAGCAATACGTCTACATTAAGATGGTGAAGAAGTTAGAGAACTATGCAAGTATGCAAACTGTAGGAATAGGCTCATAAGCATGTTTGTCTTAAAACAAGAAAATGTATTAAAAACATCTGAAATGTAAATGGAATTATCCTGATGCATACTTTTCAGAATATGAGCAAGGCCATCGTAAAGTTGCCAGTTTTCTCAGACCTACACTTCTCTTGACTTGCAAGCTTTAGTATGTCAGGAAATTAATATATTTTCTAAAATATAGAATGAGGTCCAAAATATCTAAAATAGCTTAAAGTTAAAAAAGATCACAACTTTCATTTGGCAACTTGCACGTTATGAATCCATAATCTGGTATTTTGCTTCTGCCAAATGATTACCAGGAACTTCAATTAAGTTAATTTAACTGATACTTACTGCCAATTCAACACAAAGGTTTTGAATTATAATACCATTGTATACATTTGGAACACGTTTTATTTTTTCTATGAAGTAAAATCTAGAATTACTGCATCACAAACCCAGGCCCCATAAGCCAACTGAGCAGCACTCCTGCAAGACAAGGAACAAAATACTCATCAATTGCCTTATTCCTGATGCTCCATCCTGCATGACGAGCAGATGAAAGAATCCTTGTAGTTTTGTTTAAGAAAGCTAATCCAGGTATGAACTCAAGTACAAGTGTAACAAGGTAGAACTACAGAATTACAGAAAATTAAGCAGAACACAGAAAACGAGAGCATAATAAACATGAAAAGAGATAAAAGCAAACAGAAGAAAAGCAGCAGACAGTTGTCAAGCAAGAAAAAATGGCTTCAGATGAACGAAGAGCAGAAAGAAAGAAGCCAGAACGTAAGACCAATGCACAATAAACCATTAAGACCACCTTAGCTACGGCATTTCAGTATTTCTGAGGAAATGAAAAACTGGGGAGCTGACCATGGAAAATGGCAAAAGTGGAAAGAGGAGATTGCTGTAGAAAACGGGAGTACTGCCCAGCAGTATATATAATGGTGCTATCACTTAGGATAAAAAATGTCAGAGTTTTAATGCATCGTAGAGATAAAAGAAACTAGAAGGCAAAGGCAGAAAGCTGCTTAGTCTGTCTCTGAATAACTACTGAGAAATCTGAAAGACAGTGACAAATCTATAAAGACTGAGGACTCCATGAAGAGCACATTTGCAGCGAAAATGACAGCAGGCCAAGTAAGTATAAATGCCAGTTTATCACCTGATACAAAAAAAATAATCAGGCATAAGACCTCCAGTGTCCAACTTGATGCCAACTTTGGAGTGGTTTAATTCAATTTCTTTAACTACAGAAAAACAAATTACTCTAGTTTTATGACACATAATTGGTATTGGTCCAAAACATACAGAATGAATAATTTTTTTTTTTTTTTGAGACATCAGACACTTACTGGGCCACATTCAGCTAAATGCCAAAGCACATATTTAATTTTAAACAAAAGATGTAACAAGAAAACACACTTGCCAGAATTTAGGGTGAGACTTTAAAAAAAAAAGCAAAACTAGTGACCATGATTCCTACTGCTCAGGGAGAAGCAAAACAAAGGGAACTAACAAGATATCTCAAATAACGATGTGCCTGCTTGTCTATCTCATCCCCTTTAAAACTGAATCTCAGAAAGGGTCTATAGGTACCTAATGCTGTGATTCCTCTGCTCAAATTTTAGCAAGAGAATTCATTTTCTAAACAAAGGCAATGAAGAAACTATTTAGAAA